CCACAGACACAGAGCACCCATGATTACTGGTGCCAGTGACAAGTGAGGACAGAGGCACAGGCATGAGAGAATCCTCCCCAGGCCTCTCCCCAGAGCTACTAAGCTGACAGCTCCCTTCTGGTCTCCAGAACTGTACTATTCAGTCTGAGCCCTGATCCCAATTTAGGTGTCTTTCAGGGCCTAGTGACATGTCTGGGGATTTCGCAGGATTTCCTTCCCAGGTAACAGGTAAAAGGAGACCCAGGAGTGGGGAGACTATGTCCATCAGTGTTTTAAACCCAGCTGTTACAGAACTCTAATCCCTTCCATCCCCAGACAAGCCACCTTTGGCTTGTGCCTCTGTCTCTTGTCCTATAAGCCAGGGTTTCCATCAGTTTGTGTATGAATGCGTCACCCAGAGAGGCAAGGCACGAGCCCACATCCAAAACTTCTCCCTTCGCAGTAATCATGTCACCTGTGTCACAGTAGAGTAGGGCTATGAACTTGAGCAAGCAGGGCACAGCAGGCACTCTGGCTGCAGCAAGCCACTTTGGGATTACCATGAGCAGGATCTGGCCAGGAGATGAGGAACTTGCAGAACAGCTGCAGGCTGAGGGCAGCCCAGCTGTACTGGCAGAACGATGGGTAGAAGCCCACCGGCATTCCAGCCCCAAACACCAGAGTCAGCCTTCTCTCTGTCCCAGGCCATCATTGCTTGCAGTGCTGACCCCTTGATCATGTGACAGAGTTCAGAGAAGTCAGTGACCTGTCTCAGGTGTCACAGCCCAGGTGGGTGGGTAAGTGAGCGGAGGAGAATCGGTCTTCCAGAAGACTGTTTTCGCCCCCCTCCCCGACCCGGGCTGAGAAGTGGCCATATCCACTGAAGCTCAAACATCATGCCAGCACTTGGAGTGACCAAGTTTTGTTTTATGTTATACCAGTCATGGGGCCTCTTGTTCTTGACTTTATTGATCCAGATGGCACTCTCCAACTTGAGCCACACCTACACTTTGGCCTTTTTGCTGGTTAACTGGAGATAAGAGTCTCTTTTTTTTTTTTAATTTTTTTTTTTGGGTCCGGTCATGGGGCCTGAACTCTGGGCCTGGGCACTGTCCCTCAGCTCTTCAGCTCAAGGCTAGTGCTCTACCACTTGAGCCACAGCGCCACTTCTGGCTTTTTTCTGTTTGCTTATGTGGTGCTGAGGAATCAAACCCAGGGCCTTGAGCATGCAAGGCAAGCGCTCTACCACTGAGCCACCTTCCCAGCCCCAGATAAGAGTCTTTTAGCTTTGTCTGCCTGGGGTGGCTTTAAATGGCAGAGGTCTCAACCTTCTCAACAGCTAGGATGACAAGTATGAGCCACCAGTGCCTGGCTAACAGCTTTTCTTTCTTTCTTTTTTTTTTTGTGGCAGGGCCTGAACTCTGGGCCTGGGCGCTGTCCCTCAGCTCTTCAACTCAAGGCTAGCGCTCTACCACTTGAGCCATAGCACCATATCTGGCTTTTTCTGCTTATGTGGTGCTGAGGAATTGAACTCAGGGCCTCATGCATGCAAGGCAAGGACTCTACCACTGAGCCACCTCCCCAGCCCTTTTTGTTACTTTATTGATGATGTCTCACAGTCTTTCCTGCATGGGCTGGCTTCGAACTGCAATCCTTAGATCTCAGCCTCCTGAATAGCTAGGATTATAGGCATGAGCTCCCAGCTCCCAGCTCCCAGCTAGGGGTGAGTTCTCTTAGGAGACACCAGACCATTTCGTCTCCCTACTATGAGAGAACATGGTCACAAGAGACCGCCTTAGAAGAAACCACAGTCGGCACCGTGATCTTGGACCTCCAGCCATCTAAGAACTGGGAGAAATAAGTGTTGTATAAGTCACACAACTGACTTCTGTGTGACCTAGGGATGTGGGGCATGTCCTGGGTTGGGCTAGGCAGTCCCACTCCTACATCTTCCACGCTGGCCCTCTGCCTCTTCAGGCCTCCATCAAGGGAGCAGTGGACGGACCCTATGGCCTGCTCTGAAATGCCCCTTCTCACCTGTCAGGTCTTCAACCAGGGCTGGAGAGACATCCCAGGCAAGATCCTGTATCTGAATTGTGGGACTATTCTAGACTGGACACCCTAGTCCTGCCTTCTATGGCCTGACCTCAGCCCAGATTCTCCAGCTGTTTGGAGTGTGGCTGACATTTTCAAAATACCTGTGAGTCACTGCAAGCACTCCTGGGGCAGGGCCCAGGGGCAGGGGGGATAGGGGATACAGGGGTTCCTAGCCTAGTTCTTAGGCTCAGATGTCCCATTCAAGAGCTTGGGTGAAGGCCCCTTGAATAGATGAAGGGGTCTTAAGTAATGCACAAGACAGGAGTGAAAAAGGTACCTGTAGCTCACACCTTTAATCCTAGCTACTCAGGAGGCTGAGATCTGAGGATTGCGGTTCAAAGCCAGCCCGGGCAGCAAAGTCCATGAGACTCTTATCTCCAATAAACCACCAAATCCAGAAGCGGTGCTGTGGCTCAAGTGGTAGAGTGTTCACCTTGAGCTGAAGAGCTAAGAGTGCCCAGGCCCAGAGTTCAAGCCCACGACCAACCAAAATAAAAAGGTGGTGGACACCCTAGGATGCAGTGGAGGGCAGCTGGGGCAGCTGTGGCAGGACACCACTGTGCGGCAACTATAAGCAGGAGGCAAGAGGGGTGAGAACGTGGAACTGGCCAGAAAGGTGCCAGGTTGACAGGTGAGTGAATTTCCCACACTAGTCCCTTAGTCCCCGGCCTTGGTCAGAGCCTGGCAAGAGAGCTCCATGGCCACAAGGGGTGGGATTTCTACTTCCAATGGCTGGTGGCTCTTTAGCTCTAGAGAGCTGCTCAGACTGAGGAAGTCAGAAACAAGACAGACAGACCCATGACAGCTGTGAGGGAATGTGGACAAATCTAGGGACACATCTGTGGTTCCCAACTGCTTCAGTGTTGCTGATACTCCAAATAAAAGCATCTCTGGCTTCAAGGGCCCAGCTGCACCACATGACAGAGCCAGGGGTGGGGTGGGGTGATGTACACAGGAAGCTCTGAGCTGCTGTGTTTCAAAACCCACTTCCCCTTCTCTGCTGCCAGTGAGACTGCTTTACCAACAGCATATCCTGTAACAGTTTCAGTGTGATCATCCACCTACCCTAGCCAAATCACAGCCCCTCCTGATAAGACAACCCAAGGAAAAGTATGGCTCCCACAAAACGGAGACTTGGGCCTACAACTATCTACTAAACTGTCCTAGAAAATGCAAAGCTGCCTTACAAGCAGAGGAATATATACCCTGTCCCTGGGATGAAAAGTTGAGGAGCAGGTAGGGAAGCAGTTCTGGCCTGCCTCTCTTCCCAGAAGGGAAGGATAGGCTATGGCTGCACCGTGAGGCACAGTTGTAATCCGTAATCCACCAGCACTCAACACTCCCTATCTCCTCTCAGATCCTCCTAAGAACCGCAGAATGTTGGAAAACAGAAAGTCAATGCACATGCAATTCCTTTCGAATGACCTGCAACACTCATGGGTCACAGCCACCAGCAAACCCTAAAGTTGCATCCCCCAAACCTGCTTTCCAATTCCTCTAGCAACACATGCTCCCTCATTTTTAAATCCTGAGTTCATACTTTCTGGGTAAGCTTTGGAGATGGAGAAATACAGAATAGCTCTGGGCTCCAAAAAGCCAAGATGAACCTCAAATTTGGGTGAAGGTCACCCTGAGCTAGTAGCATCCTTCCCTGTACCTTCTATTGTCGGCTCTCAGCAGCCCCTCTGCGCCATGCACTGACTTCTGTTTCTTGGCCTAGAGTGGCTCAGTTTACATGTCCTATGTTTCCTTACTGCCTAGAACACCAGGCCTGGCTTAGGACAGGTCCTGTTAAAAAGAAAATAAATGAATCCTTGCCTATGAGTTGTTACATCCCACATTTTGCTAGCTCTTAAGAAGTGTGTGTATACTGACTATAATGTTTAACTAAACTGGAATGAATTATGCTAAATAAAGTGTGTATGTATGAGGTGTGTATGTATGAGAGACAGAGAGAAAGAGGGAGAGAGAAGCAGAGTGTGCAAGCATTCAGCTCAATAGCAGCTTTAGGCATTCAGGATTGACCTTGTTGCTAATACTGGTTCAGAGTAATGTTTTACTTTTTATTTTTTTTTGCTGGTCCTGGGCTTGAACTCAGGGACTGTGTGCTTTCTGAGCGTCTTTGTGTTCAAGGCTAGTGCTCTACCACTTGAGCCGTAGCACCATTTCTAGCTTTTTCTTTTTTTTTTTTGGGTCCGGTCGTGGGGCCTGAACTCTGGGCCTGGGCGCTGTCCCTCATCTCTTCAGCTCAAGGCTAGCACTCTACCACTTGAGCCACAGCGCCACTTCCGGCTTTTTTCTTTTTGCTTATGTGGTGGTGAGGAATCGAACCCAGGGCCTCGAGCATGCAAGGCAAGGGCTCTACCACTGAGCCACCTTCCCAGCCCTCTAGCTTTTTCTAAGTGTTTATTAGAGTTAACAGTTTTCCTGCCTCAAATGGCTCAAATGATCCTCAAATCTCAGCCTCATGAGTAGCTAGGATTATAAGTGTGAGCCCCAGCACCTGGCTGTATTAATTTTTTTTGTTTGTTGGTTGTGGGGCTTGAACTCTGGGCCTTGGCACTGTCCCTCAGCTCTTCAGCTCAAGGCTAGTGCTCTACCACTTGAGCCACAGTGCCAGTTTTGGTTTTCTGGTAGTTTACTGGAGATAAGAGTCTCACAGACTTTCCTGCCTGGGCTGGCTTTGAACTGCAATCCTCAGATCTCACTAGGATTACAGGCATGAGCCACCGACACCCAGCTATCTTGTTTTAAATGGCACAAAAATAGTAATTTATGTTTTTCTTCAAATATAATAGGTCTGTCTCATGGCTAGGGCAAAGGGTATAGCTATGTATTGAATACATGGAGCCCAATTCAAGTAATAAGTTGACAATAAAAAGATGCCTTCTAATCTCCCCAGGAATAGAACACTCCTTTTTAACTTCCTTTCTCAAGTATTTATTGTTCCCAGTCAGAACATTACTGGCTTTTGCCCTTCTGATCCCCTTGGTGGGGCCAGGTACCTAAAGAACATCGTACTTATCTTAAAAATAACCTGAATTCTTAAATTAAGTCTTAAAGTATCCTGTTGCCATTTTTGTTAAGGTCACTTCTCCAGCTTTCAATGACAAGTGACACTTTACATGATGGCAAACCACGAAGATCCTTAGAAATGACCACACTGACTCATTTATTTTGGTTGCTCCTACAGTGAGGAGAGTCACAGTGGTAAACAAGTGTCCTTTATAGCCTGGTACCACAAAGGGGCATGCCACTATTCCCAAAGGGCGCTGGCTACTCCCTCTACTAATGGCACTGTGTAGTAGCCCTCTCACCTGAACACTCAGATCCAAGGGCTTTTCATTTCCCATATCCCCGCCTCCGCCTTTGACAGGATCTCACACCAGGCATGAATTAACATTTTATGCAGCCTTTAAGGACTTCCGCAATAGATATATATCTTCACATAGAAACTTAAAAAAATACTTTAACGTAATACACTGTACTTTGGAGAACTATTCAACATAAATTGCTTATGTCCATATAAATACTATATATGCACACTTTCACTCCATTACAAAAATTCACCTCTTTGAATATTAAAGACCAGGAAAGGCAAAGCCCAAAGAAAAATGACTTTAACAGTAGGAATGCTAGAAATAACAGCTATAAGCTGGGAAAGAGAATTCTGTACACTTGCCTTTGTCACAACAGGCACAATCTGAAATACAATTTTAAGACTAGCAGTGTATAAAAATACTTTCTTAAACAATACTTTTGACAGGCATAGTAGCACATTAAAAAAAACAACAACAACAAATGACTGCGTATTCTTTCTGAGAACCCACGAAAAGAGGTCCACTTACTGCCATGGCTAGCTCGAAAACATCAACCTGGAAAGCAAGTTCTGTCTCTTTTACACACACACACACACACACACACACACACACATACAGATAAAACAACCCTTTCTCTCTGTGGTGCACACTGCCAAGTCACTGACAGGCATCTCAAACCAGGCATAAAACAAGGTGTCTGGTGCCTCTTTCCAGTTCCAGCTTTGGGATGGATGAACAAAGGGAAAAGCAAAGTATGTGTGTATGTTTTTTTTTTTTTTTTTATCACTTACAGGGCCTGCCTGGCAGGGGAGTTTTAGTCTGGCATATCGATATTTAACTTGGGGGGTGGAGGAACGTATTTCCCAGGGCTCTGAGTTATAACTACCCTGGCTTTCTTTCCAAACACTGGAGCGATTTTTGGTGCTTCAGAACCTGTTTCTTCAGCATCTTCACTGTCTTCATGATGGAGATCATAAGAAATATTCCCGTATTCTCTTAAAAAGGGGAAAATCTCCAGCAGAAACTGACAGAAGTCTCGGCGAATACCAAACCACCAATGATTGCCTCCTTTTCGCCTAAATGTTGTAGCCATCAAAGTTATTAAGGAGAGCCAAAGAGGAACGAAGATGGAGATGTAAGAGAACGTATTGTGGCCATCCAACCTGTGAACCAGCAGGACCTCGAATGTGAGCAGGGGCACGACAATGGTTATCCAGCTGACGGCCATGGTCACGTGTGTTCTGCGCTGTTCAGCCACCACATCCAGCGACCGCAGGAACAGGAGGGACCACACGACATAGTAGAGCACCACCAGGCAGAGGAAGGACATGAGGATCCACAAGGGCACAAACACCACCAGCCACGGCCAGTGGATGATCCGATCCAGCCTCAGGGCGATGAAGATGAACTGCAGGATGTTGACGGAGCACAGGATCTCCAGCTCCAGAGACCTGTCGTGACGGAAGCCCCAGACGCAGGCGGCCACGGACACCGGGGAGACGAAGAAGAGCGGCATGAAGACCAGCAGCCAGAAGTGCGTGCCCCTCTCCACCCGGTCGCAGACCAGGACTTCGAACATGAGCAGCAGCAGGTGGATGCCCACGGCGATCAGCATGGCCTTGAACTCCACGCAGGCCTCCCCCTCCGTACGGTAGCGAGGGTTGCGGGCCCAGACGCCCGCCCCCACCGAGGCGCCCGCGACCACCAGGAGCTTCCACAGCCAGATGGGGGCGAAGACGGCCCAGTAGCTCCACTGGATGACGCCGTCCAGGCGGAGGGGCAGCAGCACGGAAAAGAGCAGCAGGCAGGCGTAGATGAGGAACTTACTCGGGTTGAAGTCCTGGAACAGGCCCCGGGGGTTCATGGCGGAGGCCGCCGCCCACCGGCGCGCACCAGCTCC